ATAGCAGCAGATTTTATTCTCATAAACACAGGATAAAGTATTCAATGCTGGTTTCAGAAGAAAATATTGGAGAAAACATTTTTCTTTTAGCATATAATTAAACTCTTTAGTTAATATCTGCTTGTAAGGGAGGAAGGTCATATCTAAACATCTCCAGTAATTGCACAGAATAAAAGTATAAAGTTAATTTCAAAGTAAATTGCTTCTTGTTTTATGCATTACAGTATTTTGGGTGGTTTTTTTCCCTTAGCAATGAATGCAGACTAAAGCTTTCAATATGTGAAACCAGAATAAATTTGTGTCAGCACCATTCTCGATTTCCATAGAATACTTGTCTGTGTCACTGTCTCCAAAATAAAAAAGGAAGAGGGGAAAGGCACCTTCTTTGATTTCACTGTGTAAGGGATGTCCCTCCTGCTGTGGGAAGGTCTGCTCTATGATCTGCCCCGTACAACAATGCCGAAGGGCTACTTACCACATTGATAGCTTTGAACCACTGGCATGTTTACCAATTCTTTTCAAATTTTAACTGAAATATTTCTCCATTCTACACCTGTGAAAGGATTGGATAGTGCTTCCCTATCTGCTAAGTTGTGGGACAGGGCAAGGAAAGAAAGAGAGTAAAGAGCACTGTGGGGGCAAATTGAAAGATTCTGAATTGAATGACATTTTATCTTCGGCACAGCCCCTGGGTGAGGGACAAGAAGGACCTGTACGGAACTAAAGAACAGTAAAAAGAGGTGTTTGGTTTTTTTAAATTCATTTGGTATTTTCTGTTCTGTGAACAGAACAAAACCAGCTTCTGGTCCTGTAATTAATAATTGCATGATCAAGAACATGCTAGATCTTAAATTGAAATTGAACAGGGAGCTTAACATTGAAAGGTCTGAATGGATTTTAAAATATTTCAGTTTTCAAATACTGTTTCAATATAGTTTTAAGTTATATTGCTCCCTTGAAATAGAGTTGTATATTCAAGGCATTCATAAGATTTGTTTCATGCCTAAAAATATATAGCAACTTGAAATTTTGTCTGGCTAAATTAATTTTATGATGTGGAAATGAGTAATTTCACACAGATTTATTCAATTGTATGTGACTGGTTTTTAAATTCCACTACAGCTCCAATTCACACTCATTATTTGTTGGCCAAAGTTTTTATCTAATTTTTTTATGACATCAATCTAAGAAAATAATAGTAGTAATTAGTCTCACTATGCCTCAGTTTCTTTATTTGAAGATAACAGTAATCCCCTCATCAGTGAGGGATTTGAAGTTTTCTGCATCAACATTTGGAAAATATTTTCAGATCCTTGAATGAAAGAGAAAGGGAATTTATGCTGTTATTCAATCGAGACACACTGTAAAAGGCATAGCCATTTGTTTCCAAATCCATTTTCAGTGAAATCCAAGAAGAAAGATTCTTAAAAAGAGTAATGATGGAACTAGAGTTAATTGTTGGAATTACAAGCTAATATGCTGAACTAATTAAGCCAGCAGAGAGATCCATTTATGCTTGCCAAAGATTTGAGTTAAAAGATACTGAGTACATCATCAAATGAGAAAAGTGAAAATATGAAGCATAGGTTAATCTTTAAAATAGAGTGGGTGAAAGGGTCCAGAGGCAAGTGCTGAAGTCAAATATTTACCACTGCAATTTAATTTTCTACTTTGAAACCCCAGAGATAATTAGAATTATTCTCATTTGTCTTCCATGTCAGCATGATTTAGGATTCTACTTAATGTGCAACAAAAAAAAAAGTATGTGTTGAAGCAAATCACACCAAAAATCTCAGTGTCACAAAGTGGAAGGAATCAGCACGTGGTGATGGACCTGGTACTATAGTCTTGTGTGGAGGGTGAAGCTCTGTGAAGACACAGGGCACCTACAGGGCTGTTTTAGCTCCTGGCCAGACATCCGGAGTTGAAAAGAACATTTCAGCAGCCATCAAAAAATTTCAATGTGCTAGTCAAAGCTCCTTGCTTCTTGGCCATCATGCTTCATTCCCCATGGATGCTGGCATCAGATAGCTAGTATATGGCAGAGCTATTGGTAACAGTCGTTAGTCTGTCTATCCTATGAAATTATTGAATACATTTTATCATCATACAATGTGCATTGTGTTAATTAGCTCTGTTACATTCTTAGAATTCCACTACCAAGCGGAGTAATACCAACTGTTTCAAAATTGCTTTAAAGAGTAATTTTAAAGAAATCCAGGGTTTTTTTCTCAACTGTCCTGACTGGTCTTATTGCCAAGGAACTCTGCAGCTCATCATTCAGAACCTACAGTTTGTCACTGCTGCTACAATGAAAACCTTGTTTATGGGCAAAGAGGAAACCAATGTATGTTTAAAGCCAAAAATGTATTAGTATAATTGAAATCTTAGCCTAATCCAAGAATAATTTTTAATCCAGATCTAATTATTATGGGAAAAGAAATAATACTTCTGTGCAGAAAAAGTTTTAATAATAATAATATTAACAATAACAATACAGTTAAAATTATTATATAAACTGTTACTATTTTTACTCCTCCTCACCTGTGTATTGCTTACACTTCCACTGCTTCCCTGGGTCTGGAGGTCAGTGGTTTCATGCTAGTGTATGTGTGTGTGAGGAACTGTTAGGAAGTGACTCCATCACATCTGGAGTCGGGCCAGGAAGAATACAATGTTGATGTTTTCTTCTCCCTTGCTCTTGGATCAATTTGGATGTGTGTTATGTGTTTGACACGCACCTTGCTCTTTCTTCATGGGTTTGTAGTTTCATATTACACCTAAATTCAATATACATGGTATTTTACATGTTAGGTACTTGGGTTTCTTCTTTTTGTTACACAAGAAAACTGTTTTTGTCCAGCACGAGGTCTGCAAGTGAGTAATTTGTAGCCATGGGGTCTGCAGTGCCAGAGATGTGCCCCAGCCTTTCTCATCCCATGTCTGTACTCCTCTCCTCCATCCTGAGCCTCCGCTCCTTAAGGCCTGCACTGTCCTGCCCCGAATGCACTTCTCCACTGTGTCATTATGTCAGCTGTGATGCAACTGCTCTCTTTTCTTCTCAGTGGTAGGAAACTGATTGGACCTTTTATGTGTTTTAAAATCTGAACATGCATGCAGCAAAAAGCTTCATGAAAGGAGTGCAACCTGCACTTGGAAGACAGAAGTTACTTCCTATTGGAGTGCTGTACAAGATTATTAGTCAAAGACTGTATATGTGGCTGAGATTCCTAGAGATGCACCAATTCTCCTCATTTGGAAAGCTCCTTGAAGAGGATTTCCCTTCGACCTGCAAGGTAAGTTCCATCCAACCAGGTCTGTCTGTCTCAGGTGTGAGGGAACTTTCTTGGGGAGTCTCTTTTACAGCCTTGCACAATTGCTGGGAATGCCCTGCCTTGCACAGGTGGCCCATTCAGTGACAGCACCACTCTGCTCTAAGATTTGGGCTTCTTGCTGTGGTCCCCTCCCCAAAGATGTCCTAGTGGTTTCTTACAAATATCAAGAAGAAACACAGCACAGTCACTGGCATACAAAAATGCCAGCAAAGGTCCTACCAGCAGGAAAAGCTAATTTAATTGAGGAGCTGTCACAGAATGAAGCAAAAAATGCTGATCATGTTTACTTAAAACCCCCAAAATTTTGAATTGTTCAACTTCAAGCCTTCAAGTCTTGGGAAGCAGGTACTGTTTGTAAACAGTTATGCTCCACAGTGAGGAGATAAAGAAAATAAGCCAGAGGATATGGTGGTGGGAAAGAAAAGGCTTTAGATTCTTTGTATTGAAGCTAGAACAGAATAAGGAATATTGGCCTCAGAAGTGAAACATGACAGGTTTAAAAGCAAATTAGGACAACAGAGTGAGGGTAGAAGACTTGTAGGAATGCTGTGGAAACCTTAACACAGCTATCTGAGAAGGCAGATGATATAAAGGTGATATAAAATGTGATTGGTTAATGAGGATTAATAGATGCAATAAAGACATGATCCTCATTGCTGTAGGGAAATAATAATAATGGCATTTGTATAACAGTGGCATGATTTCTTTTTCCCTGATTCTGAGTTCACTTATGCAGACTAGAAATTAAATGAACCTGGAAAATCAAGACTCCATCAGAAAAGAAAGTACATCAGGCATTTCAGATCTGCTGGTTCTGAGGGTACACAGGGTAAAGACTCACTCGAAACAACATCTCTATAGAAACCATTTTACTACAGGTTCCACATCTAATATTCCTTTAAAGACAATTTTTTAGTAAATAAACTTGTGCTTAAGTTTAGAAAGCAGAGGTAGTTAAAATACATATTATCTTAAACAGAGTTCTAGCTTTTATTTTACCAGATGAAAATAACAAAAAAGTCTTTCCTTATGTAAAATTCAGCATGGCCAGAGTAACACCTATATTCCAACCAGGAAACAGACGTAGCAATCCACTGTTATTTGATGTTATTGGAATTAACGCAAAGGGTGTAACAGGGTATGTTACAAATAGATACGTTCTTAACACACAGTCTGTAATTAAAATCTGACTTAATGGGTTCAGATCGGGAATTTCTCTGTTGGCAATGTATGAACTGCTGTCATTTACTTCGACCTGACACCGCGATGTCGCGGCATCCCTGGTGCACGGCCCATGTTGGCTGTGAGCACTGACCTCGCACCGAGCGCGGCCGATGCCGGATGTGGTGTCCCTCAAACCCACCCGTGGCGCGTTTATTGCCAAGACGTGGCCGGCGCCACTTTCCTTTAGCAGTTCCGCGGGAGGGGCTCAGCGCCCCGTCACCCCTCCGAAGTGACCCCGTCTCCCCCGCCAGGCTCAGTGACCCGTCACAGCTCCAGGTGCATCCCAGCCCTTCCCGGCGCGGGGTCCCGCTCCGTCCCTCCGGGCCGCCGTACGGCACGCGCGGCGCGCGGGGGCTGCCGGGACGGGATATGTTGACTGGGACTGGCGCGCGGAGCCGGCCCGGAGCGCGCGGGCGGTGCTCGTTCGGCGGGCGCGCGCGGGACCCGGGGGAAGCCGGGCCCGGTCGGGGCGGTGCCGGGCCCTGTCCCGGCCCTTGTCCTGGTCCTTAAAGCGGCGCTGGGCCGGGCCGGCGGGGAAAGCAGCAGGGGCTCGGCCCGGTGCCCGCCCGGCCAGGTGCGCAGCGCTGCGGGGAAAGCGCGGGAGGGGGCCGGGGCCGAGGCCGGGCGGGGCCGAGGCCGAGGGCGCGGGAGCGCGGAGCGGCTCCTGCTGCGGCCTCCGGGCCTGGAGTGAGGAGCGGGAGAGGAGCTCCTTGTGCGGCGGGAGGAGCAGCCCTGCGGGCTGATGCCGAGCGAAGGCGGTTGTGGACCTTGAGTTTCGTGACTGGTCTTGTCAGCCTTACCACTCGCGGCAGTGAGAATGAATGGCCTAAAGCTGTGCGGAAATGTCCCGGAAACTTTGGCTGTGCTTTCAGCTGAAGGGAAGGCTCACGTTTTGAGTCCTTGTTTGCTGGCAGTTTACAATTACCTGGAGTAAAACGCGGAGAATAAACTTTACAAACCAGGAATCGGTTAGATTAGCTTTAGCTCTTAAAACGGTGTCAGTCAGAACAAATAGCTGTGCGTTGTTCTTGGCCTGTTTGTTTTCTGATGTTTTGTAAGCTGCGATGAAAAGTAACATATTGTCATTCGTATTCTACTGTCAGAGGTTTAGTCTAAAGGGTTCTCGTATGTCTCCTTTTGGGTGGTGAGATGAACACTGAAGTGAGTCCTTTAGGTCTAAACTTCCAGCTTTGCCCTGCAACAGTTTAATTCTGGTTTGTATATCCCCATCTACTGGTGGGAAATGGGTCCTTGGAGTACTCACGGTTTCGTGATAGGCGGCTGTAAATTCAGTGGAGATAAAAGCTTCATTTTAGTCTCTTGATGCCGTAGAGGGGATGGCTTTGTTAAAAGGAAAGCACACATTTCCCGCAAGAATTCAAGTAACAAAAGTGTGGAGTGTCTGCTGCTTTCACTAGTATGTACAGCTGAACAGTACTCATTGTGTAACTCTCCAAACAAATGTCACGGTTATCAAGAAAACAATCTTAAATGGTACAGATGAAGTTACTTATAACTTGTGAGGTTGCCTGTTACATATTTTTACTACATGTATTTTCACTTTTCTTATTTATTTCTGCAAAAGCAGGTGCAACCATGCAAGAAGGCATACGTTTTGCATCATCAGGAGATGACATTAAAATATGGGATTCCTCATCGCTGACTGTGGTGGAGCAGTTCAACCCACATACACCTTCGCATCCAGTCAGCTCACTATGCTGGGCCAGCAATAGTATCCTTTACAGTTTCAGCCAGTTTTGTGGGTGAGGTTTTTGGTTTTGGTTTGGTTTGGTTTTTTGTCGTTTTGGTTTTGACTTTTTGTTTTTGTTTCTTTTACTAAGGTGTTTGTAGAACACAGGCCTGATGCCTTTTTGAAGTTTTGTATAAAAAGATTTGTATGTATGGTGAAGAAAATTTTGTGGTTCTCTGTGTTGAAGAGAATCAATTCACAGTGGTAAATGATTCTGTAGAAGTTTCTCATCCTTTAGGAGGCAAAAACTTTTGTAATGATTATGATATGCCTGAATTGCCTGCCAACTGTAAAGCTTACTCATTTGTTTCTTCAGTTGATTATGTTACTCACTTTCAAAGCAATGCTTAATTTACTGGCAAGGTTGAACAAAGCAATTTCTGGTATAGTAGAATTCTATGCATAGTGTAGAGAAGAGTTATTATTTTCCTGGAACAGCTTCTCATTGATTCTGATAGTCTTTGATAGCACTTACCTCTTACCCTGTAGCTACTGGCTTTCTTTGCATTGTTGGTAGCATGTAGAGAGGAAGTACAAATGTATTGGTTATGTAGGAAACATCCATAAGATGGTGGTGATTTATGCATCCAAATGGATCTGACCCATCTAGATCTTTCACCTCTGACTTGGAAGCCTGTTCTAGGATAATGATATGAGGTGCCAAGTGAATATATGAGAAGTTTTAGTGTGCTGTCAAGTGAACAGCTTGTATGGCAGTCACAGGAAAAAGTGGTGGTGCCTCAGCTTGATGTGAAAGGACAGTATGCTGGCACATAGCAATTGTCCTGCAAGTTCTGAATGTCTGTTCTCTAAGTCTGCAAATAAGTGAATATATGAAAAGTTTAAACAATCAGAACACAAATGAATGTTTTAGCTATGGAGCTTGCAGAGAAATTGAAGCATAGATGAAATATTTTCGTGTATATGAATACAAGCTTACATGTGTTTAATAAACTTTAGCTATAGGTCTTGTCTTGTCATGCTTCCTCTTCATCTCCCAAAACTGAAACAATGAAGTATCTTGCTCTATATACTTCTTAATTTGTTAGGGATAAAGCATTAGTTTTGGTTCTGGATAATTCTGTATGCTAAAAAAGTGCCTTAAAATAATGAAAGGAATAGCAAGCACTACTCTGCCTACCAGTTCTCTTGTGTTAAAGCCAGCCAATTAACCTGTATTATTCTTAAATAAGCAAATATAAAATCACAATGGACATTGGCCTGAAGACATAGAGGACACTGATCTAAATGATTACTTGGTTTATTTGGTGGGAGTGCAGAGGTAGTCTTCCTTCTCTGTAGCTCTATACTGAATATTTTTCTTATTACTTAGGGTACTTTGTTTCACAAAAAGTTTCTTTTTGGGCTTTTGGGGTTCTTTTTTAAGTACAGAGGGGGACAAATTTGCAAGTGCTCATTGTGCTCTAGAAACTGTGTGGTCAAATAATTTAGCATGTGTCATGAACAGAACCATTCTTTAAATCCATAGCCTGCTAACAGCATCAGACATTTGTTTGAACTGTAGTGATAAATGGGGCTCTTACAGTGGGGTGGTGGTGAAACAGAATTGTAGACTGGATAAGCTGCCTTAGTGGTAAAGAGCTCTTAAATAATATCTGCCAGATATTTCTCATCTCCTCTCTGAAGGAAATTGTTCTGCCTTGTATTTGAAAGTAAGGGCTGTAGTTAATTCAAAAGCTTCTTAATGAAAGCTTGGAAAATAGCCTTATGTTTCTATTTCTAGTCTCTTCAAGGTACAGTGCTTTAGGCTGTTTAGACAATCTGTCTTCTGTTCAGTAAGGGAAACTTTTTGTTGCTTTTATTAATCACTGGTATCCTACGGTTATTGTTCTTAACTTGTGACAAAGACAGATACCTGGCCACTGCTTCTGCTGCTGGTGATAAAATAGTTGTTTCAACCTGTAAAAGCAAACCTGTTCCACTCTTTGAAATAGCTGAAGGAGTAAGTATGAGTAAATGCTTTTCCCTGTTTTTTCCCCCACTTCACCTTGTATCCTGCGTGTCTCAAATCTGTTCTGCATATTGGGATCAATTTAATTTTAGTATGAGTTATGACATGTATGTAAAAACATTTGCTTGTGTATTGTTAAACACATATTAAGGGGGGGGGATAAAAATAAGAAATACAATAAAAAAATACAAATGCAGTAATACTGATAACCTGAGGCAGTCAGTGGTTCAAATGTGATCTAATGTGTAGGGGATGGAACAGAGCTCAAGTTCAAACTTCATTTTCCAACTTGAATTGTCAGTATCATGCATGTCTGTGAATTGTACACTGAAAAACATAAGAATCTATATAGAGGTTGTTCTTGGAGCGTACATGTGACATCTTCTGGAATTGTAAGAAACAGGAGAACTTCTGTTACAGTCAAAACTTCTTTTTCCCGTTAAATGGAAGTGTGGTACCGTGAACTTCAAGAAGCTGGACTTTGTTTTAGAAGACTCTCTTGGCATGGTCACTTGAATTACTTGTTAGTGTTCTAAACCATTCTAATTATTCTACTTGGATAGCTGTTCTAATGCTAATTTGGACTGGGAAATTTTCTGTAAAGTTGTTCAAACCTTGCTTTTAGGGTTCTGAAGCAAACACTTTCAAAGGTGGAGTGTTATTCCTGGAGATTTCACTGAATCTGATCTATAACTAATGCGATCCCTTCCAATTTTACCGTGTCAATAATTAGATGGACTTGTTTTTTCTTCACTCAAATATTGAGAACTTAAAAGTGAATATTCAACATGATAGAACTGAATAATAATTTGTCCTCGATGTAGGTCTATCATTAAGATTGACATTTTTTTCAAAAGCTAGTACTTCAGTGATTATTTTAAAAAGAATCACTTAACCGAATTATGAGGTCTGCCGCTATAATATTCTCTGTAATGTTTAGGGAATGTGAAGTACGTGACTTAGACAACTTTTTGATTTTCTTCTAAGGAGCTTTTTTTCCCTTAACTTAGGATTTTTTCTTTTTATAAACTCAGTACTGAATAGAAGACTGTGATTATACTTTACAGAGCTATAGTTTAAAGGGAAAACACATATTGAAAGAAAAGGTGCTAAAAAAATTTGAAATGGGAAAATGTGAACATTTGAGAGTTTATTAATTAATATATTTAGATCTTAAGGTGTATTAAATGTATGTCCAAACTGGACTGGATTTTAAATGCCTTTTTATGGGAAATGACTGTAGATTACTAATAGTTCTGTCTGTCAGTGGGACTGTTTGTGCTGATGAAAACAAAAACACATCAATGTGCTTTTAAGTAGATTTGAATAAATCCCTTAATTATCTTTAACATATTATCCCCCCCTTCTCCATCAGGCAAAACAGACATGTGTGAGCTTGAATTCTAGTTCTTCATATATCGTGAGTGGAGGCCTTGATAGCACAGTCAATATCTGGGATTTGAAATCCAGAAAGATTTATCGCAGCCTTAAGGTAAGTTTGGCTGAGGAAGAACTGTAGTTTTCTAGTCTTCCAGGTTTTGCTGCCAGCTGTAAAAAATACACTTTCTTTGTCAGGTATCTGTAGGATCAAGGTTACAGATAGGAGCTAGCACACATCTGTGTCTTGTTCAAGTTTGTGTTCTTTATGTGCTGTAAACAGCAAATTTAACAAGCATGCATAACTCAATGCCTTCAAAGTACAATTCTATAATAACGCATGTTTAAATTTTCAGAATAGACTTCTAATTTTGCAAATTTTTATTGATATTCTCTGATTGGGCTTTTTTTCAAGGGATGCATTCCAGATAATTGCTCCTTCTGATATGTCACGTAAGAAAAGACTTGTATTTGTGGAATACTGTAGTAGAACTAGTGTTATGCAAAACTGGGAGATAGTTGTCTTTTAACTGATCCAGTATGAATTATCTAAAAACTCTGTACGATGCACAAAACATAGGAGGGCCTAATATCTTTCCCAGATGCCTTCAGTAGATGATTTGCTCTCGTTTAGCACCACTGACTTAGGAGGCTATGAAATTTAAGCTTTGATTTATTCTTTTTTCTTGGACTTCCAGAGTTAGAATTTGAAACAAAACTACTAAGTAGATAATACAATACTTTAAATATCTATTCCTAAGTTTTGGGTTAGAAGTACTCGATTATCTTCCCTTATATATTCATTAAACACAATATCATCATTGCAAATGACTATACTGAAAAGTTAGTTGTTAAGTGTATGTGTTAATGATAAAAGTGACAGAAGGGGAAGTTGGCAGTAGTACATCAGATTAACAGAAAGCGTATTCAAACATCTGGTTTCTGGGAGACTTTACTTTTAAAATAACATTAATAACACCTGTGATAGATATAGCTGTTGGTTGTCTTATTAAAACATTGTATATAATTACACCATCATCTTTACTAATTTATTAAAACCATCTTCTGCAAAAATCAGAAGTGGTTAAAGTATTATGATTGATCTTCAGCATGTTCTGCTGCTGTTTTCTGTGATATTCCATAATAACTCTTAAATAATATTTTTAAGTCTTACAGATGGTCAGAAAAAAACCTTATCAAGCTGAAGTTTTCCTGCAAAACCATAAATTAGTAAGAATATCTTTAACTGTCTCCCTCTAACCTCTCTTCCCTACAGGATCATAAAGATGAAGTCACATGCATTGCATATAATTGGAATGATGGCTACATTGCTTCTGGATCTTTGAGTGGTGAAATTATCCTACACAGTGTTACCACCAATTTATCAAGTACTCCCTTTGGTTATGGCACCCGACAGGTAGGCTATCTGTATTAAGTTCCTTTCAGGTACCAAGCTTTAATTGACTGTCTTTAGAAATTGAAAGTATGTATCAACAGCTTTTAAGTTTTGTTATTCTGTTTCATTTTAATTTTTAGGAGTGCCCTTAAGGAAAGGAAAAATCAGACTATTGTGTGCATTCTAGCCTTAAATAATAGGTAGCATTGAAATACAAATTTCTCAAATACCTTTGCTTCTATAAAGGGTACAGGAAATTTTACTTGGTAGACACTGGTTTCTCAAGAACAAACTTCTAGATCTTAGAGCTGATCAAGACACAGTTGGCTCCACAAACCAAAGCAGAATTTCAATGGACGACTCAATTATTGCTGCAAAGGACAAAGACCATGTAGCCTGGGTTCTGACTTACTTATTCAAAGCCATCTGTACAGTAAGGGTGAATATAAGCCTGTATTTGGAAATAATAAGTTTATCTAATCTGGAGATTAAACTTGCACAGCTGCTCAAAAAGAAAAGTGATGAGATTTTATCTTACCTACTTAGGTGTTTAGGTAACATTTGGGAGAACTAGTTTGAAGGAAGACTGTGCAAAAGACTAACACAAAGCATGTGTACTACTTAGAGGACCTTGGTAGGCACTGCAGTTCCTTTCGGCAGACTCAAAAGATATTATAAGAATTGGTGGGTATCACAAGCCAATACCTTTGATGAGAGCATTTGCAGTAGTAAATGAGCTGTGTTGTCCCACTGGAAACTACAGTGTGTGCTCTTGGTGCGAGTGTCGTCTTGCAGACAGCCATGCGTTTGTGTTTTAGGCATTCTTTCATTTTTTACTGAATCATTTTTACAGAGGTAGGAGCTGCCTAGGGGATGCAGAACCATTGCTTTGGTCCTAAACCTGGTCTTTAATGTTGCAAAGAATACTGAAGTTGTGACTTATTCCTTTTCTGTTACTACAACAACTTTTTCAGTCCTAGATTGCAGATGGTGTCAAGTTAAATTTTTCTCCTGTCTAGCATGAACAATATAACTTGGTGAAAAATCCCTTACAACCTCATAGCATCTTGGGAGTTATGGTATATTTTCTTTTGAAAAATCTCTGTTAAATTCAAACTATCTCTGCTCCTAGGTGCCGCAGTGTCTTTGATCTATCACCAGTCTCATACTTATATTGAAGCAAAATTGTACTTCATACTTGGTTTGAGCTTAAAAATCCATCTATGTAGTCAGTTCATTTTTCTGATTTGATTGTTACGATCCTAGGAAGAATGTGGATGTGAGGCAGGAGCTACAGGGAAGTCCATGGCTGGGTTGTGCAGCTCAGGTGAATATTCAGAGTGGGGACTATGCTGCTAGTTAATTGGAAATTCTTGTGAGGACGATTTGCATCAACTTGTTTGATGTATTCAATTCTTTCCACCAAAAAGTGATTAAGAGTAAGTGATATGCCATGAATAACTATTTTGTCAGATGAAATCAAAAGGCCTACTGCAAAGCTGAGTGACCTTTAGGATGGATAAAGCTATTTGAAGTGTTGAAGTAATTGCAAACACAGAGCTCTCCTGTTCACATTCTACAGGGTCTATAACATTTTCTTAAGGAGGGCAGTTATTTGATTACAGCCTTAATTTAAAATGGAATTGAGCTCTAACTTTGTGATGGGTTGGCCAGTTGGATATCTCAAGTTATCAGCTTATCTTCGATCCTAAAAACGATCTTTACTTTTATGTGCGGAAATAGCTTTATTATTGTTTTGGGTTTTAATTGGTACTTGTAGAGAATTGCAGGATTAATTGTGCAGTGAAGCAAATATCTGAAGACTTGTATAATTCTGTTAAATTTAAAAAGCCTTTACTTGATTTATAGCTTAGGGGCCCCTTTTCTTTAAAAGTAAGCTTGAATAGATAAACAGTGTATTATCCTGTTTGATCCTGGCACTAGCTGTCTGGCTTAGGAGGGGCCACCACTCCCTAGTAACTTTTTTTAGAGTTGGGGAATGTGAAGTCAAACTAAACTTATAAATTTTAGCTTGTCTGTGTTTGATTCAACATGATGGAATGTAGTTTCCTTGCCAGTTAATTTCTGGTATTGTGTAGATTCTTCAAGTAGTAGAATAGCCCAAGGTTGCAGTGCTTTCTGTGACTTTAAACAATTTTCTCTTCATAGGAGTATTGGCCTATATTCTGTTAATTGATTTCAATTTAGAAACACCTGTGTGCTTTATTAGAATTGAGTTCTTGCACACAGTTGTTTGCAGATCCCATAATTTGTCTTTGCTGTTGGCATTCATTTAGACTACCAGATTCTTATCTGCTTGCTGTTGTGAGGATGAATTAAGGTTTGTTTCAAAACATAATGTTTGTTCAAGTCTTTGCTGCCTGGTGCTATTCTCCTAGCAACAGGATTTAGTTTAGCTGTTTGAACAGCTGGCTGATTTGTAAAGAAGTGTGATGGGTTCTGGCCAGTCCATATAAGTGAAATTGTCTTCAGCTTTTAAAGCTAAAAATGAGGAGGAGTGGTAATATGGGGAACGTATTCATGTGAAAGAAAGTGGAGAACTTGTCTAGACCTGTGAAATTAAAAGGATAAAGGAGAAAAGGAAGTGGCAGAGAATTGTGAGGAACAGGAATGTTTCCCATGTAGATCATGTATGTAATAGAAGCTGTTATTCCTGAATCGCTCAATATTTTTTCAATATAAAACCCTGAAAATTATGATAAAGATATCTCCGTTGTGTCCAGTAGAGGACCATAATAATGATGAACAGTCACATTCAATCCTATTTGAATATGCAGTTGGAGGTGCCACCTCTTTAAAGCAGTTTGAAGCAATTAGGCTTCCAGTGAGACGTGCAATACAAGTTCTGGAAGTAATGCTGGAGGCATATGAACCAGCACATATCTCCATTAAAATAAAGTTAAAGAGAGAAATAGGATAAAAGCCAGTATTGTGGTGTGGTCTATGCCAGAATAATACAATAGCTTTTTGAGAGCATTTTCAGGCAAATAAAATAGTAACAGCTGTTATTGGCTTGAATTAAGTACTTGATCACTGCCTTGTGAGACAATATTAGAGAGGATGGGTAAGAAATTGGTTATACTGATAAACCAAACAAACATTATCTTTGAGCATCTAATCTTGTTTAATATTTTCAGTAATGCTTATGATAGTAGAAGTGAGATCAACAAAGCTGGTGAAAAGTCTGGAGTACAAGTCTGATGAGGAGTAGCTGAGGGATCTGGGGTTGTTTGGCCTGGAAGAATGGGGGATATTATCACTCTTTACAACCACTTGAAAAAAGGTAGTAGCAAGGTGGGGGTTGGTCTCTTCTTGTAGGTAACAAGCAATAGGACAAGAGAAAATGGCCTCAAGTTGCACCAGGAGAGGTTTAGATTGAATATTAGGAAAAAAATTCTTCTCTAAAAGCGTAGTCAGACATCAAAACAGGCTGCCCAGGGAAGTGGTGGAATCATCATCCCTGGAAGCATTCAAAAAATGTGTAGGTATGGCAGTTAGGGACATAGCTTGGTGGTGAACGTGGCAGTGCTGGGTTAATGGTCAGACTCGATGATCTTTGAGATCTTTTCCAACCTTAACAATTCTGTGATTCTAAGTAGAGCTGTGATGAAACACAGTTAGAAGGTATTGCCAATAAGAGGCAATGTGTCAGTATCCAAAAATGATCGAAACAATAGACGTGGGAACAACTACGACAGAAATCAAGGTACCAGACTTAGGTTACAAGTGAGGCTTTTCTTACTAGACTAGGATTTGAAAATTCCCAAGGGAAAGAAGGACTTGGATTTCTTGATATAAAATGACAATAAGCAACCCAAGCAGTCTGGATCGCAAAAAAGAAAATGCAGTCTAGGATATTTCATGGTGAGTCTTTACAGTACAAAATGGAGGAAGTGCTTTTTGCCTTTGCAAAATATTTTGAGGATCATATAAGATTTTAGTTGTCCATATTCAGGGAAGAGTCAAACTGGGAGAGTTGCAAACATACTGTGATAGTAGTGGAAAACCAGTCTTGGGGGACTCTCTAACTTATAGCAAAATAAAGCCTGTTAATAGCAAAATAAAGCCTGAATGAAGGTGAGGTTGCTGTTCCTTAAAATAGGAAAGCAGTACTGGGGAGTTAGGATAACAGTTTAAGTGTGAGGGCACTATGACTACAGGAGTGAATTGGTGGAGATGGGTCATAGGTAAAATTAATCAGGAAATTGAGTAATGTAATTTAGTATTAGAGCAGTGAGGTTCTGAAACATCCTCTGAAGCAATGTAGTGGAAACAAAATACCTGTTTCTGAAAGGTAGTTAAGTTCCTGTGTTATGTGATTCTGTGATAGCAAGGCTGCATGCGATATACCATGTATATTATCCTCTTCTGTGGTCCTAGTCCACAGGTTGAAGTCTGTTCTTCTGCAGGACCTACATACTTGCTTAACTCTGGAGTCTGTGTGTCTTATCAAATTGGCTTCTATCCAAGTGCTTAAAATCAGTGAAGGGGAGTTAAGTTTAACATTTTTGGCAGGAGACTAGTTGGTGAAATAATGTACCTTTTTGCTCCTTTAATTTTAGATGTGGTGTGGGTTTTTCCTGTATGACTTGCTGAAAAATGAAGAAACTTTTCTAGAAGTTTTTTTTTCTTATCCTTCATTTCACTAATCAGCTCATATGATACCCTGTAATGGTAAAAAAATAGTCTGCCCCTGATAATAAAAATGGCATTGTAATGCAAAATGAATTTTCTAGGTTTTACTATTTATATTTCAGAGTGGAAGCCTTTGTAAGATAATTTAATATGGTGTTTGATATTGGTATTAAAATTCATTTTTTATGTCTGTTTTACAGCCTATTCGACACTTGAAATATTCATCCTTTAAGAAATCCTTGCTGGGCAGCGTTTCTGACAGTGGAAATGTAACTCTGTGGGATGTAAATAGCCAGAACCCATATCATAATTTTGAAAATACTCATAAAGCACCAGCCTCAGAAATCTGCTTTTCTCCAGTCAATAAGCTGCTGCTTGTAACTGTAGGTTTGGATAAAAGAGTTATTCTCTATGACACTTTAAGTAAAAAGTGAGTATATCAAAGACCTCTGGATTATAAAAAACCAAATAAGGATTCTTTTAAGAACTGAAAAAGCATGCTTAGCTATGACATCACATAATTAATTCAGCTCACATTCAGAATGGTTGAAGTGGTTGGCATATCACTACTGGGGAACCTGTCCCATAGTCCATTTTGCTTTTGTAGTTAAAAACCAAGCAAACAGAAAAAAAAAGGTATGTGAGAACTAATTGAGGTGCTACATCTGAGTGACCACTTGCAAGTGCTTATGGGCTTTTCTTGTTGATACAGAGCAATTAACTTCTCTGAGGAACAGTACAGCCTGTGAGGGCCTTCAGCCACCTGAGCTTAGCTTGCCTGCTTTTCTAGTTCAATATACAAGACATAACTGTGGTGCACAGAGCTGCTGAGATAGCGAGCCTTAAATATGGGAGAGCATTGGCTGAAAAGGCAGGAAGTATGGGACACAGGTGATGGTACTGTGTAGTAAGAGGGTAGGATGGCAAGTGGTTTCATGGGACCTTGGTTCTAGTGTGAGTTGTGCTTTTCCTCTAGCTGAATAACAGCAGGAGTCTGTATTTTGGAGGGGTGTAGTAGAAGGATGCAAACTAGGACCTGAAGTTCTTCCTAGAGTTGTGGGAAGATTAGTGTTGATACACTTGGAAAGCTAGAGGATGTATGTTAGTATGATTGCTGCTGGAAATGATGATACCAGTAAAAAATGTTGGTGTGAGAACTGCTGTTAGGAAGCTGATGTGATCCTGTCCTCCTGAAATCTTTTGGGTCATATGCAGGTTTTTTTGTTGTTAAGCATGAATTCTTAGTATAAGCCTAATCCACTGTTTCATAAGATGTGTCACTGAATTTACTTGGCACTGGAGAAGTGGAACTACTGACCTGTAGCTGAATTATGAAAGCCTTCATATATATATATATATATATATTTTTTTTTTTTTTAGATACTCTGTATAAAAGTCTAACTTTTGAATTCTAAAAGCTTCTTTATCCTGTCCTTTCTCCTATTTGAAGGTTACTGACAACAATAGTAGCTGATTTTCCTCTGACAACAGTAGACTTCATGCCTGATGGTACTACTTTGGCTATAGGATGTTCCCGGGGAAAAATCTGCCAGTATGACTTAAGACAACTGACATCACCAGTGAAAACAGTTATTGCTCACAAAGGCTGTGTGAAATGCATACGTCTTCAGTTCAGTAGCACTTTTTTCAAGGTAAAAAAAAGCTTTCTTTTTTATTGTTCAATATGCAGATTGGTGAAAGCAAAGTGTAAGTTTAAGTTCTAAAAAAAAAAGTTAGCTTTCACTTTCTAAGCATTACAGATGCCAACAAAATTGGATCATGCCAACATGCCAACATAGGAATTATAAACTGCTCAGTCCTAAGTGCTGTTTTAGTGGTTTTTAATGTGGAATTCCCCCCACTCCTCCCTCAGTGTAGAAATAAGTAGTCTTAAATTTCCTGGTATGGATGTGCTGCCATTGTCGATCAGTTTGTGGCACCTCAGGTTCAGTTTTAGGCAGTAGCAGAAAGGTCTGTAATGGCCCTTCCACTTAAGGGGAAGACACAGAGCTGCTCATTTTGAGGTATTTTGTATGGTCCTATATATGGTCTTTTTTAGGCACGTATAAAAGCAGTGGAGAAGTTAAATAACAGAGAAGTCTTAAGAGGTTCTTCCAAGACTTAATTAGGCTCTACTGTATCCAGAAACCCCATGCTTTCATTTAGTGGAGACTGAGGGAACCTTTGAAGTGGATTATTTACCACTCTGAGACTTTCCTCCTCCTCTAGCACACTTCCTGCTAGTGGTTGACTATTCCTGTAAAATATGGAGTCCCTAATAATGTAATCTCTTATTTTTTCCTATGTCTAAACCTAGGAACAGGTCACTCCATTGTTACCTTAAGTTCTGTTGCCATTTATATACTAATATGGATGTTTCCCATGTTCTTTGAAGTTACATTAAGATACCTTTTTCATATTTGTAAAGGCATATCTCCTAGGCAACCTTTGCAACTTGAACTGAATTTTTTAAGTGTTTTGAAACAGAAAGTATATTGGCTAATATTTTTATTTTTAGCTGAGGGAATAATAACTTCTCTTAATATGGTCTGTTTTTTTTTCTTCAGTCTAACCTTACAGGTTCTTCAAATAAACCTGTATCTAAAAGAGTAGAAGTCAAAGCTGGTAGTAATCTTGGAGGAATTCAAAATACTGGCATCAAAAACATTGCCTCTCAGACATCAGCAACAGTTTCCTCTCATCTTATGTTGCCAAATGAGAATAAGGGAGGAGAGATTCTTCAGGAGAAAACAGGTAGGGTCTTCTTCCTACTCTTGCAATAATATTTGGCATAATGTGGAAGATGGAAGGAATATTTCATGTTTTGACTGTTACAGTACAAATTTTCTCTGAGGGAAGGGCATTTGTGTGGAGTACTGTGTGTATGTGCATGCACATCTGCACCTTCTTTTCTCCTACTGCATTACACGTACTGTAAGACTGTAGGAAGTGAACTGGATCCTACTATAAGCTTAGAACATGTGAAGTCTTAAATTCTGGACTTGAATTAGAAGTATGTACACTTCCAAGGAGAAAGTCATGGTGATACTGTGGGACTATCTTGTTCTGACTTCCTGTAGAATATCCTTATGTATGTAATGCAGTTTCTGATGCAATGTCTGCATGGAATGCAGAGCTAATGGTTTGTAATTCTATTAATAAATAGGAGTAACAGACCTTATCTAAAAAAACCAACCAAACAAAACATAGGAAAAAAAACCTAGTCCAAAAACCCAAGTGAGAACTGAACTGAATTTTTGTGAGAGGCATGATTCCAGTATCACATGGTAGGAAAGAGGTTAAATATAGTTACAAGTATGATTAGTTGTATAACAGTACGTGCTATTTATGCTTCTGAAATTAACAAGTTCTTTGTAAGAATTTTAAGCAATCCAAAATTCTGCCACTGTGTGAAATGTACTCTTAAATTTTATTTAATTCAAGACTTCTGAAAATATGATCAAATCAGTAGCACTGTTAGTTTGCTTCTTGAAAAAAAATTCTCAATCCATTTAAAAGCAACAGCACTTTTCCCCTTCGCTTTTTAAATATGGAGAAATACATTTAGCAACAGTAATTAAGCAATAAGCCACTGCAGTCCATAGGTACGTGTATTAATGACCTCCCTTGGGTATGCAGTGAAGTATCAGGTGAAGTAGAAGGCTTCCTGTGTATGCAAGAAGTGTTGCTAATCAACATTACTGAGGGTGTGGAACATTTTATTGCAGTTAAAATGTATGATTTGTTATCTTTATTTGAAGATGGTTGTTAACCCTTAAACAGGACCATGCGTAATAAATAGATGTTTTAAGAAAATAAAGGCTTGCCAAGTTATACAAATAGTTGTCCTTAAACTGAGTGTTCACTTTAGGAGTAAAGACCTCTGAATACTCCAGAAGATAGGTCTTTAAACTTAAAAATGGGAATGGATGAGAGATCACAAACTGCATTTGTACTCTGGAAATTCTTCTAGACCCTGATTATGGGATTTATCTTTGGAGAAATATGGGGCATTCAGTAAAGTGGTCTGATAGCATATTTAAACAAAATTGAGGCTTTCTATCACAGGTATTTTTAAAGTCCAAAAATATAAGTTGTCAGAATATGATGAGAAATTCTGATGTACTTTGAGCTGGCTTCCCATAAACTTCTATTTAGCAACTGTTCTCCGGTTCAGGTACTTACTACGTTTAGATTACTGGGAACAGGTAAAAATGCAGAGAGGACTTTTTTGCCCTATTTTACATTGTGCTTTTTCCTACATAGATCCTCTAGATTCTGGCACAGGTTGATACCGTACTTCTAGTTGGACTCTGTGTGCCAAGTATTTACTTCACTAGCAAGTGCAATCATATGTATGTGCCACAACTGACACATCTGAAGGACTGGAAAATGTGATATATTAATACATTTAAAAGTGAAATCTTAAACCTGACTCAAGTTCCAGTTAATGTAGATACTTGGACATGATTAATTGCAGGCATCCACACAGTCACATTGGATTACTTGTTCAAGTAATCCCACATAGAGAAGTACTTAGAGGTTTCTTAAACAGTGGTGGGGTTTTTTCCTTGTTCGTTTGGTGGGGGTTTTCTTAAATTAAAGTAGATCCAAAGTAAAGGTTTTGTATATACAGGTGATTTATTTATAAAAGATTTATTTATATATTGCACAGCACTAATGCTCTGTGCCTAGTTCTTAAATTCAAAATCTAGACACTTCTCAAGTTAGCAGTACAGTAAGGACAGAATAATGGCTTGCTTGCAGTCCTGATGTGGTTTCCAAACATACTAAATTGTGAAAGTTATTCAGATGTCTGGCTGAGCAGTTCAATTCACATCTCTAAAAACTGTAGTTTGAATATTTACTGGGGGTTTTTTGGGGAGGGACTTCTTCAGACAACTGTCCTTGGTACCATGCATATAAAAGCTAACTTTTTTTCCCCTGGTAGAGTGGTGAAAGGTGGAGGAACAAGTTGTTGTTTTTTTGTTTTTTATTTTTGCCTGCAGCTGTAACTCCAATTTTATTTCCTAATATTAGAAATAAGCATTAACATTAGGTAAGCTTTAAAAGAGATGTGACACAGAATTTTCCTTAGAATACTTACTGACCCCAGTGGAGCAAATTTCTCTTGTTGGAAAGCAAATTTCAATTTTGATCATCTGAATGTGGTTACCTTCTTAGCAGAAGGTGCAGTTACTAGTTCCGACTGTATTTTATTTTTGTTAGTAAGTACCTTAGCGTTTAGTTACATCCACCTTTGCTGACAGCTCAAATGAGGGAGTTAAATTGACCCTCTAGTGACATCTGTAGATGGTTCTAAAGTGCTTACTGGACTTACCAGGTATCATGCTTGCTGTGAGATTGTTTAGGCATAATGTATGTTATTTTTGGAAAACTTCAAGTACTAATTGAATGGTTTTGTCCTTTTAAGGTTTACCCCATAGTTGCAGCTTGGATGTCATTCCATCTAAAGAAACAGATCATGGGAAAAGTGCTGAATTAAATAGTTTTGATCATTTGGGTCGAGGTAGTTTAGGAGATGTGTTTTCTCCGGTCAGAGATGGTAAGTTGCTAATACTGAAATTTGTAAAGCATCATTCATCTGCACGTACTATGACATTATGTCATTTGTGTGCTATTGACCACGATACCTACTTGATATTTTAATTAGTCTTTGATTATGAACTTGATTTAATGACGCAAATAAATACTTCATTTGTCTATGTTCTGGTATTTTGTAGATATTATTACAAATAAAGGGACTGAAGATCTTCAAGGAAAAGGAAATGGTAAGCATATGCCAGTGACAGGCCTCTGGAGGTCTATACTAGTTCTCACATGCTAATTTTGTCATACCATTGAAAACAAACACATGAAAAAAACAGACACTGAAACAAATGAACTTTGCTGGAAATTGTCTGACACACTGAAGTGCTAAGATAGAACATGGCAACAGGAAATCAAGAGTATGGTCCTAAAGTGATTATTTTATTTTCCTTTATGCAATTTATAGTGATATATAGAGGCTTTTCATGTTTTTACTTTGATAAGGAAAATGTCAGCATAAATTAGATGTAAGGATTTAGTTTTTGTGGGGTGCAATTATTTTTTTAATTGGCTTTGTATGGGTGTGCAGGCATTTTAATTGTGGGATAGATTTGGTGTGTGCTTGTTTATTGATCTTTCTGTTTCGTTTTAGGTCTGGATTTTCAGTCCTACCTTGCGGGTTTGGATTTTCTCCCACAGCTCACTGCTGCCTTTCCAGTAAAAAGAAACCCCGTGGGCAGTAGTGCACAAGGGGTACAATCTAGCCCAATACATGCACTTGTGGGGTCTCCAATTAAAGAAGAAGAAGAACATCCAGAGACTGACATTAAGAAAATAAGTCTTGGAAAACAAGAAAATAAAGAAGTCTTAAAGCAGGTATTCTTGTTATGATTGGTCTTGTTAGAATCTTGGCAGAATACTACTACTTGAAGAAAAAATCCTTAATAATGCCCCATCTAATCTTATTTGGCAACTCTATTCACACTATTGACACAAATCTGTAAAACCTTGCACACTTTAAGTGCCTTGGCCTTCAGCAATGGAAGATAAATGGATGTTTCTCTTAAATAAACTCTGGTTACATAAGTTCACATAAAACAAAATGGGGGTTGCCTGACAAGTATTTTGATTTTTCTAGAAAATCAAGAAGGATCACTAGATGGGTGCACCTGTATAATTGTTTGTTGTTTATTAGATAAATTCCACTATCTTCTTTCCCTATTCTTCATCTCTCTCTTTTTCCTACTTGAGATATCTTTGATATGCCTATGTGGAGACCTTAGCTGCTTTTGTATTGCTTCTCAGAAGTTCAGTTTGCTAGGAATGATGCTATAATTTCGTCACAAAATGTGGGATGTGAAAATTAAGAGGCCATCGCCTTTTGCACTCAGTTCTGTGTGTGTGCACTTGAGGGAATTTTGAATGTTTTAGCAATTTTTCCATATCTTGCTAGGAAATGAAAAGCATATATTTCTGAGTAGATTCCAAAAAGCAAAAATGTTTGAAAGTGCATTCCTGTAAACTTAGTCTTCAAGTGCAATTAGACAATTGTAGTACGTAGATTTCATCTTTTTTTATAAAAAAAATACTATTTTTATTGTCAGGTTTCAAAATCAAGCTCATCAAACATAGAATCTATAACTTTAAGTTCTCCATCATCATCCACTCCTGATACAAATGAGAGACTAATGAAGAATATTCAGGCCCATCCTGCGTATGATCTACCAGTAAATGGTACTACCTCAACAAGTAAGTTGATAATTTTGGCCCAGTTCTAGGTGTGGTGATTGTAAACTGATATGAAATCAGATAAAATGGACTTAACATTAAAAAAGAACATCTGATCTTGATCCTTCTTTAAATCCTGCTAGCCCTCCTAGAATGTCCCTAGTTGCCTCTGAAAAGACTCATTCTAAATCTATTTTTTAAACTAAGTAATATTTGAGGTAAAATATTGACAAGCCTCAAGACAAATAAAAAAACCTCTTGTACTCCATTACACTGATATTTAAAAAAATAATTATTTGTTTAATTAATTTGTTTTTAATTGTAAAGGTCCAAAGATAACATCACCTGTCACTGCTGGAGTTGCAAGTTCATTGTCAGAAAAAATAGTAGAAACCATTGGGAGTAGCAGACCAAATGCACCTCTGACATCAATGCAAATAAACTTCATTCAGAATATGATACAAGAAACAATGGATGACTTCAGGTACTGGTATTCAGGCAGAATATTGTTGTTTTCAATGACGCGTTTTCTTAGTAAGATGTTTTAGCATCTGCTTCAACGAATTTCTACTTGGATTAGAAATTTATAGCCCATTTATAGCCCTATTTTTGGAAATCTAGGTATGAAACTTAGTTTTTAATAGCTCTGATGACTAATTACACTGATGTCTCTGAGGGCTGCCAGTGAATGACTTTGGTAACGTGTTTTCAGAATGAGTGCTTGAACATTTCTCGGATGGTAAATTTAATCTGCATAACGAGGTCCTTCCTGTTTTTCTTGAAGCTTTGTGCTGATTTCATTCCCTCCCTGCTCGCCTCCCCATTCCAGCAGGAGAAATTGCTCTTCAAGCTGACACCGTGGAAAGTTTGATTTAGACGGTTGATTTGTGTTGGCTTTGATTGTCGTTAGCATGGCATGTGTAAGGTAAAATAGTGAGTGTGTATTTCTACTGGTGAAGCTCCTCATTAAAACAATGTCCATGCTGTATATGATGGCTGGTGTCAGATCACTTAGTTTGTGGATATCTAACCATCATTCCAATTGTCATGAAAAAAGTCAAATTAGCATGGTTCTATTGAGAGTGGAGTTTGAAGAAGGTGGAGCAGTTAAGATCACTTCCCAACCTGTGTTTAAGATAAAGTGTGTTGATGGAGGTGATGGAGAGGAAAAGGGTTGCTGGGCAGGGGTAATTCTGCTGTCTTGAAGACAAAAAGCAATGCAGTACTAGCCTAGTAGGTCCAAGTGCTGTGGCTGTTCTGTATCTGCCAACAGAAAAAATACACTGAAGGTTATAAATGTCTTTGCATAAATATAGTATAGTAGAACTCTCCTGGGATTTTTTGGCAATAATCACACATCTGATTAAAACCTGTAACTTCACGTGACTTAAAATGCAGTCTATGTATTGCAGATGTGTTTTTTTTTAAAGTCTCTGTTCAGGCATCCCAGAGTTGGAAGGGATGCCAGTCTTTTACTTCCAATATCTGAGATCTGGAGCCTTAGATACTGCGTTTCTCTTCTGACCTACGCATCCTGGAGTGCCTGGAAGGCTTTGCTGGCCCTTTTCCTGGTTGTAAGTTGTAGATATATTCAAACTGAAGGTAAAAGATTCTTTGTAATGGGGTCACTAAGAGGGAAGGAGCCATCGCAAGGTTCTTATTGATGTAACTACCTTTTAGCCCGTGGAATCTGAGGACAGGATTTTTATCTTTCTTGCCTGAAATTCATTCCCTTTCCAGGAATGGGAAAAAACCAACAATGGACCTCTAGAAAAGGACCAGGAGGAATATATAATTCATTTGGTTCCAAAAAGCTGTTTGTTTGTTGATATTCCTGTCTTTGGGAGATAATCTACATCTTTGAATTTCTAAGCTGCCAGCTGGCATCTGTACTTGATACACTGAAAGAAGATTGCCTCCAGTAGGAGTTCTGTAGCACAATAACCTGTGGAAAGAGAAAGTGGGTTTGGTCTGTGTTTGAGGAAAGGAGAACGAAATAAGATCTATGTGTGTCTACTTAAGAAACGCGTTACTATCTCAGGCCACTGGTATCCAGAGCACAGTATTCAGTCTCAGGTGATTGTACTGTGATATGCTGTTCAAGAAGGGCTTGTGAACTTTCTTGCTTTTCTGTGAGCTGTGCTTGTTCTTCCTCAGCATCTGGAACTCTTGTATTTATGTAGTGGGTAGAGGCTATTTTCAAGCCTGGTTTTTGTAATGTGGAATGGCTGTGTATGAATTAACAAATTCATGTCACTTCACAGGCAGTACTGCCACTACTTTTTATGTAGATGAACCTGGAGCATTTTGTGGGCTTGAGAATAATGTATGTATCACTTATCACAGTTGATGTTTTGGGCTGTCTTACAAAAGTATTGAAACTCATGTACTGAAAAGCTGTATCTTCAATTACAGATAAATATCTTTCTCTGTGGTGCTTGTGATCTAGGGATTGAAAATCAGCTTTGAATCGTAAAAAGGAGAGAAGCTTACAGCTTGCAAGTGAAAAAGCAATCTTGATATTACCATGTATATACTGGTTTCTAAACAGAAAAGATCCTACATCTTTTTGTATGCTGAAAAAAATGGTACTTATGAAAATCAATGTCATAACAAAATTATTCCAGAAAATAAGCTGTAGAGGATTATGTTTCATGATTTAAGTGTTTTTAGACTCTTGTTTCATGATGCTGTGAAGTGAGGAATTGTGGAGTTTTTGGTGCTGAAGATTGGAGAGAAAGACTGCTTCCTAAATAAATCTGTGCATTGTCCTTTTGCAATTCTTTCCCCAGAGAAGCATGCCATCGAGATATTGTGAATTTGCAAGTGGAGATGATCAAACAATTCCATATGCAGTTGGTATGTACAAAGACCATGATGGGAAATACATTCAGTTTTCCATTTTGGTAATACCAAGGCATGCCATCTTCTCTCAAAACTGAAAATCTATTTTGCTTATTGAGACCAAAAAAGTGAGGATTTGATGTGAAGGAGGGAGAAAGTATGAATGGGAATCTGTTAACTTGTTTTATGCTTGCTAAATAAAGGGAACATATGCATTGGGTAAGTATGAATTCCGTACTTCAAGAGTTAGAAAAAAGGCAAAAGGGAAACAAATTCAGCTGTCCTTTGGAAAGGGCCAAGGGCTGAGGTAAGGAGGAGATAGATGGAATTCAAATAGAAAGCTTTACTTGTAGGTACTGTATGCATACTGAACTGTTCTGTATTCTTTAGCTTCACCTTTTTATGAATCTTTGTTCTTTTGATCTGCATTAAAAAGACCTTGTCTGGGTACTGAGCATTTTAATGGAATCTGAATTAGTAGATTCTCTTCCTGAAGGTCTGCAAAATATCCTTTGATAAAATATTCACTAATGTATTAATGATCAAAATACTGTCAGCATAAAAACCCCCTTACTTTTCTTATCAAAAGTTTTTAAAACCAGAATTATCTACGTTATTTAATTTTCAAAAGAGATATAAAAATGGATAGGATAAAACTGGAATTGTTAACTTTACTGATTGGGACTTTTTTCTTTTCTCTAGAATGAAATGCATGCTCTACTTGAAAGGTACTCTGTAAATGAAAGCTTAATAGCTGAAATTGAGAGACTACGAGAGGAAAACAAAAGACTGAGGACTCACTTCTGATTTATATTGCTAATTTTATTAGCATGAACTCACTACAGGTGGTGTGTTGCCTATGACAGATCGTCCATCATCACTGAAGTATTGTTTCAAGACCTGCTATTATTTTGAACATAAATCTGTTCTTCTAACTAATTGGTGTAAGATACTATATGTAATTATAAAGTTTGTAACAGATAGACACTGTATAAAGAACATTTGCATACTCATGCTAACCACCTTGAAATACAGCCTTCTAACAGAAAAACTAAAAAGACAAGTATGTTATCTGAGTTTTAGCAATACGTGAAGTGCCTTTTCATAAACAAAATCAAACCAGGACAGATCTCTTTTCTGTAAGAACATTTTTATATACTTACTTTTCTGTCTGCTTCTTTATTCTACTGCTGTCAGAAACAATCACTGCAGCTTGCCTTTCAGATACTTCTCTTTATGAAAAAGAGGAGAGAAAGCTCCTCTTCTGCTCAACATGGAGCCTTGTTTACAAGCAGCTGGAAAGTAGTCAGTTAAATTTATTCAACTGGCAACTCTTCTGTCCTGAATTGAGAGCTTGAAAATATTCTCAAATTTGGTGCCACGATCTTCCTTATTGAATTTTTAAGTCTGAAATTTATGTTTGTCTGCTGTAAACTTTGTTGTTGCAAATGCTACTTCAACTGCACAAGTTGGTTTTTTTTTTTACTACTTTAGTTATGAAACTAGAATTCTTTTTATTTACATGTATTTGAATATTTTCATAGCTTGTCCAATTTGAATTCAACTTTAGACTTCAAAATGTAAGTATGCACAGCCATTAATAATACAGCAATGTGTAAACAAGGTCTTTCCAGTCTTTGACTCGAGCATCTTGTGCCCACCCTCCCCTCCCTATTTGTAGTGAACAACACTTAATATTGAGCAGTTGTGTTGTAGTTTCGAATCTTGTTGACTTAGCATTATTGTAGCCTTTTTAAGATAGCTGCATACCAAATCTAACTATTATCTTGTATGGCTGACATAACAAACATTAAAGACAGATGATTACTTCAGTAGCATAATAGTATCATACTGGTGTGTAAACATTTCTGAAATGAGGCTCAGTATGAAGTCCTGACTGTTGAAGTGTGTGGGATGTTTGGCCTGGCCTTTATGTGTGCCAAGAAGATTAAATTAAAACTTCAATTTTAAATTACTTTAAAAATGAAGTGAAAATTTTAAAATAAATTAAAATATTCTCTGAATGATTTCTTCTACAAGTGCTTCTTGCTATTTAAATTGTTTGGGAAGATTCTTAATTTTCCCTCTGATATTTGGTTGTTTCTTTTCATAAATTGAAAACTCAAAGAAGGAAAGTCTGAAGAACACGGCAAGTTAATTAGTTACAACATCTAGTGTTTAAATCCATGATAACACTCTTCTACTAAATGAGTAGATAATGAAAGCCATAATATATAGTGTAACTTATTTTTGTATGTTGCAAAACTAAAAAAAAAACCCAAACCCATCTATAACTTGTCCTTAACTTTTACTTTGAAAAGAGACTTCCTTTTTTTAATGTCAGTTAATGACAAATACAATCTTTTGGCAAAATGCAGGTGTTCAAGTAGCCTTTAATGTTAGAGACATGACTTTAAATGTCTGTAGTTCTACTGCTTTTATAAGCTTTTGAAGATATTTCTATATCACGTATAACCTCATAGTGAAAGGAAGCAAAGATAGTTGGGCTGTTTTTACTAACTTAATTCTCTACACTGTGTGTTAAGTTAATAGGATGTGTAAACTTGACACATAGACCAAACAGTTTGTGAAGATAGTAGTAGTTGAAGGTAGCAAAAATATCTTGGCATTCTTCGACATGCTTTCCAGTGTTAAAGAAGTAACCTTGTGTATTTGCGTCTCTTGATTTGTTCCCCAAGTGCTCTTGCTAGTGTATCCAGATGAAAGCAGGGAATTAGACAAATCTTGGGTATTTTGCTTGTAGATTATTTGTTTTCTTGACTCAGAACTCTATAATCTTTTTTCTTAATTCCCAAATGAAGGTGACTATAGCAAGAGTGACTAAAAGGAGGTATTTTTGCCTTTTAAAAAATATTTTTAGGGCTTTTTTCCATATCTCAGGATTACTATAGCACAACTGGCTACACATGCTGTGTGGAGACCCAATATGCCTATCACTACAGAGGTATGTTTTTGCCTTGTACACGATCTGATTTGTATGTTAAAATAAAGCTTATTTTAACCTTTTTGAAGAAAAAAAATGCTATGTTGACTTGCTTATTAAAGAGAATAATATGTGTTGTAATTGTTATGCCTCAGCAGGTGCAGTCTGTCTAAAATTCTTGAGTAATCTCTCTTCTGCCTCTGTGGGTTCATGTAGACCATCAGATCATTTTCACAGAAATGTTCACAATACCTCGTGCTTTTGGAGTAAAGGACAGATGAGCAGTTTCTTCTTCCAACTTGAAAACTGTTAGAGTCATAACAGATCAAGTTCTCAGCCAAAAATAATGTTCAAGCAGATGTTTTGGACGGGGGAATAATCTTGTCTCCTAAGCTCCAGGTGAGTTGGAAATCCTGTGTCTTCCTAATGTTTAACTTATAGATGTTTCATTTTTTAGTTCCCTTCTCTTGTGCTCATACAGACTTTGTGATGAGAAATTTATTTGCAGTTTCAAGGTATGTAGGGTTTGAAAACTGATTTTGACTAATTGATTTTTTCTTATAAGAATGCAAGATGCCAGCATGTCCTTACTTCATGGCACAAGTCCACCAGTGCCTGATACGCACGCCATACTGTTCATAAGCACCACAAGGATGAATCTGGAAGTTGCTCACTGCTTCTCCTATACAAGGAACACAGCATACCGAAAGAAAGAACATGCTTTACAGACTGCATTGCCAAACCGTACAGTTCCTTGCTAGGAGATACCCAAGATACTTAAACTGAAAATACAAAACGGTTGCAGATTATTTGTATATAAAGGTAACAGATCTGATACTGCTGAATGCTTAAGACTGGCAGGTGCTATGTCTGTGCTTGCCCACCAGTGCACTTGTGTCTGTGTGGTCATTATTGGTGCATGTCAAGAGCTGTGCCTTCTGGTTTGGCTGAGTACAGCCATTTTCATGTAACTTGTGGTGCATCTGGGGGACGCTGATTAACAACTTCTCAAAGAACAAACAAGAAAAAAATCTCATATTCTTCCTTAAGCTTCCTGTGCCAGGCACTGGCAAAGATAAGGTATGAGGCTAGAGCAACAAGAATAAAAAATTCTAAAGTGTTTTCAAGATAACTGTGAAATTAGCTGTGAGTCTGGATGTCTCTGTAGCCAAGGGAGTACAGACAGTACGTGTGCACTTCATATTTGTCTCTGGCCCAGCCGTGGTACAAGGAAACTTAACAGTGGAATTATACTCAATGATGATTTCAAAAGTCATTGAAACCACATCCTTTTTAGCTAATTTCGGCAGTCCAAGCAGTGATACATTTGTGGGACAAAGAGCCACAATCCTTCTGACATGGACAATGATCTGCCATATGTAGTGTGCTGTCTGCATAAGTTGCCAATAACACTTTGTGCTAAAGAGCCACTTTAAGTAAAACATCTCATATGAGATGTTTTCATTTCTTTGTGTGGAAAGCTACTCTAGAGCTAGAATGCATATCTCATGTTTTCAAAATAAACAGAGAAATTTTTGGGGCAGTTCATATAATAAACTGTGGATTTTTCAGAGCATCTTTATGAAATGGCAGTGATGACACAAGAAGAAATATTCTTGGTCCAGAAGGCACCTAAACTTTGAGAGCAAGCTTAGAAACCTCCACTAAAATCTCTAGAAAGAGAGATTCTCTCTCTTCACCTGGATATAGACAATGTCTGACTAAAAGTGGGAGAAAGAGAGGTGTAGACTGCTAATATTTATTTCTTAGCCTCATTGGTACTTAAAACATTCAGACCTAAACTCAAGTGGAAAGCATCATTCTCTCTGCTGAACAAATTGTATCATGACTGAAGATGTTTGGTAGAGCAACAACTGCCATGTTTATTTTGGACTATGCCCATTTTGAACCAGTTCTGGTCTCCAAATGTTGGTGCAATATGAACAGTAATGCACATATTTTTTGATACTGAACTCTGTTAGAATTTTGTGAGTGTCTAGCTTGGAGCTCTGAAATTGGCTGATGAATGTCCTAAGTCATCCACTCTCCAAGCAACTGACTTTGGAGGGAGTTTAAAACTATCATTTTACCTCTGAGGAGGTCATTATACCTCTAAGGATCATGTGAGATCTGTTCTAGCAGTAGAAACTTCTGTTGTTCTTGTTAGCAGAATGTTTTTCTCCTTTACTTCTAACATGTATGAGTTGCACTACAAATGCTCATGCCTTGGGCTCTCTCTCTCCTGAATTCACCATTTGTCCTCTCATTCTAGCTAAAAATAGCAAGGAACGTGTAATTGAAAGTTATTGTTGTTCCTTTCCAATTTCTTACACTACAAAGTTCTGTCTCTATATGGAAATCACTGAGACAATGTTTTTTCAGCCTATTACTTTGCAAGAATGGTAATTCTGATTTATTCTTTTTGTCCCTAGTTGTCATCTAAGTAATGGAGAAGGAAAGAAATTACACAGAGAAAAGGACACATGAGAAAAGAACACAATTTCCTATACAGGTTATTTACATACAAGTGCCTTTCCTGGTTATAAAAATACATATTAACTAACACAGGACAGAAGTGTTTCAGAATTAATTTTAAAAAATTAGTACTATAAATAAATACTAGTGCTCAGCTGCATTACTATAACACTACTTACCAGAATGACTGAATACCCAGAGGTGTGCAGCTGGGGATATTTTTTATAATTATCAAGTAACAGAGAGTGAACTGTGTTTTCTGAATACCAATTCTTCATATTTTCATAAGGTCTTAGATTAGCCAATCAAAAATTAGGGGAACAAACCCAATTAATCTTTTTTCGAAAGCTTTGGGCTAAGTAGAGGGAATTGTCCCCCTAATTTCATAGCATCTAAACTCAACCAGTTCTGGGTTTGTGCTGTCCAGTTCTCACCACTGAACTTCCTTATGAGTCAAAATACTGATGCAATTGTTACCCAAATCTACCTCAACAAACAGAACAGTGCTAGATCTCTCTAGTGCTTTAAGAGTCAGAGCGCTTTGGTCTGCGCTCAAGTTTTAAATTTCCCACATTACACAAGTGTCTGCAGGTTTGTCCTCTGGTTATTTTATTACAGAAATACATTCTCTTGACAAGAGAAGTCAGTAAGTTAAGGCAAGCTTAAATTAAACAGACCCTATGTCATCATACCACAATACCCCAAATTCTTTCCATGACACATTTGCCTTAAAGAAATTGCATGTGGTGCTGGAGGTCATACTTCCACTCTTCCTCAGAGTGTGGGGAAAAAATGTCACTGCACTGTGTCCAAAATATATGTCCCCTGAGTCCTACCAGCTCCTTCAGCTTTGAGAAAGCTGTGGACTCCCTGCCTCTCAGCAACAGCAGAAGGAATTACAAGTCTCCTTCTCCTTGGAGGCATTTGGCCCTGCTCAAAGAGCCCCTCTCCAGGCAGGTGCCTGGCACTGTCTCATTCTGCCAGAGCCTGTATCCTGCTGCAGGGTGTCCTTCCACAGGGATGTGCTCCACCAGATGCAGGTCACACTGTTAATCGAGACTGACTTCACATGGGTAGGGCTCACGAATATCTACATAAATGCCATTGCTTGTTTCCATGGTAACTTTGATGCTTCAGAAAGGAAAAGACTAAAAAGCCAGGAACAACAGGAGAAATGCAAGGAGCTTATAGCACTTCAGTCACATGTGTTTGAGTTGTCCTGTGCTATTCCGAAGTAACAGAAAACCCAGTTGTGACAGACAACGATACTATGATACTCCAACAATGATACTACAATTTCTGTGTTTACCCATCCTATAGTTGATTTTGCTATTTATTTTGTTTAGTTTTGGGGTTTTTTTAAAGGTTCCTTTCTACACCAGGTATTAGACAAACAACAGCAGCATCGGTGTGACTGCTAGGTGTTGCCACCTCTAAGAAAATTATAGAGGTCAGTGGTATGAATGCTTTGAAAGCTATTCTATGCTTTTTAGAAATACAGGGATTTGTGTATAAACCCACATGGGAGTACCATTGGGACCGAACAAGATAAGCATTGCTCTATCTTTTAAAAAATGTTTATCTTCCTAAAGTTGAAATGCACTTTGGTTTCATTTAGTTAATTGACACTGCTTAATTGCTGCTGACCTCTCACACATTCAATGCCAAGTCATGAAGCATGTGTATTTATTTCGCTGTTGAAAGCGTTTGACTTTTGTTTCCGCCTTAAGTGGCAGTTGTGTGGCAAACTTCATGGGAAGAGTAGTCTTGTACTGAGCTAGGGAATTGGTAGCTTGTCAGTATTTCATTCTCAACAATGACCAAGGCTTTTACACTTGCAGAAATGACAAGTCTAGTCACCACCTAATAATCATCTTTGTCAAGAGGTCTCAGGGTAAGGTAAAATGTTAAGGAAACTTCCCTGTCCGATGATCCAGGAGCCACACTGGCAGTCACACTCACACCACCTGAGGTGGGACCTAAGCCCCTTAGCAGCTACACACCCAACACTCACACAGTCAGACCAGGTTTTCTTACCGGCTTGATCCCAGGTTTCCCGTAGCAGTCTCAGACGTCCCGATCCTTAAAATAATTTCATTCTGGTGCAATAACTAAATAACAAAATAACAGCTCGAGCTGGTTTCTCCGAGGAGGGACTGCGAACAAAGGAAACCCTGGACTTTTATCCCCTTACAGCTCAAGCGCGCAAAGTCTGGAGTCCTTGACTCCTGCCGTGTCTCTGAGTGTCCGGTCCCCTGGCCGGCGCCACGGGTCCCCGGGCCCTTTGTTATGCAAAGGGTCGGCAGGTCACGGCCCCTTGCCTGTGGCTCTCGCCACCCAGAACTCAACCTGCAGCTCCCACTGCAGCTGCACACAGAGCTACCTGCACTGAATGTATTCCTCAACAGTAAAGAAACCGAAATATTTCACATCTAGTCCTTAGATTTCACCGATGATTTACTCTGCTTGTCACTTTTGCCTTCCATCAGTTTAGTCTCTGCATACATAGTACCAGAGTTATTAGGGAGAGAGAGTATTGAGCAGGACCATGGAGATTTGTCTTTCTTAGGGAGTTGATTACAATGCTGTCAATCAATTTAGCAGTGTCCTTTTTGCACAGAGAGTATGACTACCGGGGAGAGTCCACCTCTCAGATCGCTGTGTTG